GTGGTGTTTGGGGGAGAGAAAGAAAGACTTTTGCTGCTTTCCTTGCATGCAGCAAAAAGCAGAAGAAGAAAGAAGTGGAAAGAAGCAGTCCAATGGCCAGGCGAGGCAGGTGGGGCATGTGGAGCAGGTTGGCCCCCGCCCTTTCCCCCTCCTCTGACTACCTCATGTTGTTCGTAATGCAAGCAATGCAAGCCTTGTGTTCCCATGGGCCATGTGGGCGGCTCAGCCTTGTGTTCCTTCACAACCTGTATTAATTGCTTTGGAGGGTGCTTTGGAGGTGATATTTCTCTGTGGACCACCAAAACTTTCTTGCAGACGACCAGTGGTCCCTGGCCCATTGGTTGCCGACCACTGCTCTAGAGCAGGTTGTCAAACTCCTGGCTCATGGGCCAGATGCATCATGTGCTGGCCACGCCCATATCTGGATTAGCAGAGGAAAAAAAAGTCCCAATACATCAAGTGATGCTGTCATGGTGACGTGAGTTTGACACCCCTGCTCTAGAGGACATGGCTGCTTTAACATGATTCACTTGTGAAAACTTGTTTTGTGAAACATCCCTTCTGGTGCTGCCCTAATTTATAATATAGTATATTTGTGAAAAAAGTATGGTTCTATATTTAGGCAAGAAAAACCAAATGCACAGGTACAGTATATGTGGTACTTTGTTCAATAGCAGTAACTGTTTGAGGGATCTCGGAGTCCTAGTAGACAACCATTTAAACATGAGCCAGCAGTGTGTAGCAGCTGCCAAAAAAGCCAACACAGTCCTAGGCTGCATAAACAGAGGGATAGAATCAAGATCACATTAAGTGTTAATACCACTTTATAATGCCTTGGTAAGGCCACACTTGGAATATTGCATTCAGTTGTGGTCACCACATGTAAAAAAGAGGTTGAGACTCTAGAAAGAGTACAGAGAAGAGCAACAAAGATGATTAGGGGACTGGAGGCTAAAACACATAAAGAATAGTTGCTGGAATTGGGTATGTCTAGTTTGATGAAAAGAAGGATTGGGGTGACATGATAGCAGTGTTCCAATATCTCAGGGGCTGCCACAAAGAGGAGGGAGTCAAGCTATTCTCCAAAGCATCTGAGGGCAGGACAAGAAGCAATGGGTGGAAACTAATCAAGGCTAGAAGCAACCTAGAACTAAGGAGAAATTTCCTGACAGAACAATTAATCATTGGAACAACTTGTCTCCTGAAGCTGTGAATGCTCCAACGCTGGAAGTTTTAAAAAAGATATTGGATAATCATTTGTCTGAAGTGGGTTTCCTGCCTAGGCAGGGGGTTGGACTAGAAGACCTCCAAGGTCCCTTTCAACTGTTATTCTATTCTATTTATTATAGCAATATGCTTTGTTAAAAATAATCATTGGCTCAAAGAATTTGGGCCAAGTTACTCATACTAGAAAAAGCCACCTTATTTCACCCTGATATAGGGTTTTGTATACATAGACCATGTGAAACATTATCCAGATTACAGGACACAAAGTTCCTCTTTATAGTTAATAATGGGATAGTTGAATATTTTTCCTTTAGATTGGCCTTATTTTTCTCACAGGCTAAGACACAGCCAAGCCATGGATCTGCCTTTTCAGCAGGAGCCAAAAGAAAAGCTGAGCCATTGGAGCTATAAACATACAAAAAGCAAACTTCATGAGAGTATATTAAAAATTGCTGAAGCACTAAGGATATATAATCTACTGGCATTCTTATTGGGGTTTTTTCTTTTCTTTCCTGGCCCTTACTTTACTTTGCTTTCTTCAGCCCTTACTTCTGGGCTAAGAAAGATGCCAGAATCAGTCACCCATTTCAGTCTTAAGTATCAGGTTTTAAAAAAAATTAATTTCCAAGCTGGGTCAGGAAAGATAGCTCTGGATGGCCTGGAGAAATTAATCCTGGTACAGAACAGTCTAGCAAAAGTTAGTGTGACTTACTCTTTCAAAATAAAGACTTCAGTAGGGTCGTTGGTTTACCCTTTTAAGAAATAACCCAAACTATAGCTTCTGTGCAATCACTCTTTATCACTTTAATGGAGTAAATGAGAGAATAATGACTCAGAGGCACTTAAAAGGAAACACCATGCCACTTATTTTGCATTCTGGAGCTCAGTTTTCAAGCCAGGTTTCCCTAGCTTCATTCTAAAAACATGTCCCTGGCAGAAATTTTTTGATGGCTCAGAAGTTGTGCATGTTAGCAGCTATTGGTAAGTAGAATTTAAAAAACAATTCAGAAAGTTGGATTTAAAGTTGTTGAGCTTTGGGTAGTAGTCCGACTCTCTTAACGCAAAGGTGGCAATGATGGTTGTTGTTGTTGTTATTATGATGATTATGATTATGATTATGATTATGATTATTATTATTATTCCTTCACTTCATGCAGAGAAAGTTCAATGACACTACATTCCAGAAAATGATGCTCTCTTTAGAGATTAGAAGATGAGTCTTCCAAAAGAGACAAAAAAGCAATATGCAGTTTACCTAGTTTGATGCAGTTTGGATAGCCAAATAGAATATAACTTATTTGACAAAGTAATTTAGATTGATGTGATGTGCATCTCTATCTATAAGTTCTACATTTTTTTCTTTTCTCCTGGAATCTGGGTGAGGTTTTCAGCTGTCTTGAAGTCAAAATTATGCTTGTCTTTATTACAATACAAAAGCACCCAGTTTTCAAGGTATTCAAGACTCTTGAAGACCAGAAACTTATTGAATTGTAAGGCACGCAAGTAGGATAACCAACCTTCTCCCAAAGTCATTGCTATGGTGAAAGAAGCTCTCCTTCCCCATCACTAAAACAAGAACCCGCTTTTTGCTGTTTAAACACAAAATGAAAAACGTGCAAAGTAGATAAAGCTTGTCTAGAATGCTAAACTCTGATTAAACATCTCCTCCACCTTCCAAAAGCATGTTCTCTCCATGGACCATCCGGCAGAATTTCCAAGATGGAACAATTCATTGTACATCACAAGGGGCAGGAAATGCTTTCCTAGCAAGACAAATCAAGCTATTAATCTTACAATACAGTAAGAACTGTTACAGCAGAAAGTATTTATTTCTACCTTATTAAGACTTGTGTATTATGTTTGAGCAAATGCGTTTCACTCACTCTTTTTGGTATTTCATATTTATCCAAATAAAGCTTTTATTGCAAGGCAAGCTGCCTCTAGATGCCACACAATGCCTTTTATGTACATTGTGAAAATCGCTCTAATACATTAGCTCTACCAAATTTCCAAGATTTTTCTGCCTTTCTAAAATATCAGGGGATGTGACTTTCAGACAGAAAATAGAGTGCATGTATTTATATTGTCGCCCAACTCATAAACAAGTGATTCTGGGCAGCATAAAACAGCTAAAAACAGTTAATAATTTAAAAGGTACCAAAACCAAGCCAAAACAAAGAATAATAGAGGAAGGGGTTGTTAAAAGTAGCAGAACATCTTACTACTTCACTTATCTCCTGGGGCCCTTAGGCCTGCTGACATAACCAGGTCTTGAGAGACTTCCAGAAGTTTAACAAGGCCAACCTCACTTCAGGACATGAGAAGATTCCACCTCAGGGGAGGGAGGAGAGAAGATTTCACAGTGTGAATACCACAGCAAAAAATGTTTAGAGCCTGCCAAATATAATAAGGGATGGATCCTATAATATGCCTTCTCCACTGGATTTTTTCCTCTTTCGCCATTCCTACTGAACATATACATGAAGCCACTGGACAAGTTAATCCACAAACACATATTCATCAATAAACTGATTTTACTCTACCATACACCCAGATTGAAAAAGTGTTAACCGATGTTAATAGATAATCAGAGTTGGAAGGGACCTTGTAGGTCATTTAGTCCAACCCCCCGCCCAAGCGGGCGACCCTACAACACTTTTGACAAATAGCAGTCTAATCTCTTCTTGAAGGTCTCAAGTGATGCTGCTGAAATGTCTTTGGGTGCTTGGAAGCTCTTAGATGTTAAATTTGTTCATTGCTTAGGACTTGGCATCTGTTGGACCGCTGATTCCTAATATTATTTCCCCAGCCAACAAAATCTCCCTATCTAACATGAACCTCATCCAACCACAGTGGAGTTCCTCCAGGTCTTTTCACTTACGGAATGACATCTCCAGGGATCACAGAGGGAAGCCATTTCAATGCCATCCCTGTTTGTCAAAACAACATTCTGCCAGATATTTAGATGGCCCCTTCCCTCCTCATTTTAGGGAAACCATTAAAAATGTGTTTATTCCATCACACCTTGATGCTGGAACACTGGGGTCTACTCTGTGGTAGTGAAAATATTTTTGAATTTTTTGTTTATATGGATGATTGTAGGTTGAATAATTATTGATTTGTCTCTTTATACAGTACTGTATTGTTTTTAACTCAATTTAAGGAAGTTGGAATGTACACTATTCAGCTTTTCAGTACACTCAAGTAAACGTAAAATATCTGACAAACTTTCAGAGATAGAATTTGCCTAAAAAGCCCACAATTTTCAGAAGAGATTAAGTTTCTAAAAAATTGGTACTGCAGTCTGTTGAAACAAAAGCAACATAGATGTGCCAACCACATACACACACACACACACACACACACACACACACACACACATAAGATAGGGAAAAACAGCTTTTGATATTCTTAGATTAGTGTGAACATGCCATGTGGATGTGGTCAAAGAAAAATATGTTTGTGGTTTACAAAGTTTTACACAGGAATATGTATTTTATTTAACCTAATTCAAACCTAGAATAAACATAGATATGCAGAGACACTAGAAGAAGATATAAAATTGTAACTGTGTTCCAGGACAACCAGAAGTGAACATAAGTTTGGAGAATTTACATTCTACAATGTTTTAGGTCATATATCATTTTCAAAGGCTCAATTTATAAACAGTATCATACTCCAAAACTGTGTTTTCCATTGCTTTATGGCTAATTTATCAATAAGTCAATCTGTGCACAGGCAATATCCATAATTGTATTATTTTTTCTTCCCAGCAGCATCATGTGATCAAGAGCTCCAATCAGCACTAGAAGAAGCTAAACAGCCCCAGAAAGATAATGTATTCATTCCAGAGTGTGCTAATGGTGGGCTTTATAAATCAGTGCAGTGTCACCCATCCACAGGATATTGCTGGTGTGTCCTTGTTGATACAGGACGCCCAATTCCTGGTACATCCACAAGGTGAGAAATCTTCATTGGAACCAACAACATGCACATATATATGGAGCTATGTGATGTTGCTGTCTTCATCCAAAGACTTACAACAGCAATAGCACTTAGACTTATATACCACTTCACAGTGCTTTACAGCCCTCTCTAACCAGTTTACAGAGTCAGCATATTGTCCCCAACAATCCGGGTCCTCATTTTACCCACCTCAGAAGGATGGAAGGCTGAGTCAACCTTGAGCCTGGTGAGATTCAGCCGAGGTAGCCTGCAGTACTGTACTCTAACCACTGCGCCACTGAGGTTCTTCCATAACTGCACAAAATAGACTATGAATATGGTTGTAACAATTCTATGGCAATTTAACATGCAAAAGATGTTACTGTTCCTCGTTGTTTAGCAGGAGTAATCAACATTCTTAACATGCTTTGAGTGCTGACATTCACAGTTTGTGTAGTGAAGTTTATTGCAAGTTGCTTGAATCAGAGTGCAATTAAAACTAAGGGAACAGTTGTGAGCCATGAAAATAATGGCAAATTTGTCACTGAAAGTGTAGAAAGTGTTCTTACTACTCAATTACAAATTCTGATTACATCCTCATTATTTTCAATAGTTTTATTCAGATTAAAACCAATATTTTACAGTATGGTCAAGGTAGGAATAGAAAAATAAACAAACCATAATTGCTATATAACAATAATAAAAACATCACTAAGACTATTGAAGACACCTTTGTGAAAAGACCAAGAAACAGTGAATGGTAATTATGCCCAAATCTGGCTCTAGTTCATAGGATTTTTCTCATTATTTATTAGTAGGCTTAAAAGTAATCAGCAAGACAGTGCTTTTTATGTTATTAAGCAACTGTCAAACCAGGAAGGTAATAAAGTCAGGGGCTTCAGCTTTTATTTTTAATTCAAATCTTTACTCATGTTTTGGGTTCTTGTGGACATTACTCTTTCTGAATTTAACTCTCTACTATAAAGTTGGAATAACCTTTACAAACTTCAGAGTTGACATGCAAAGATTCAAAAATGTGAAGCCCTTTATATCGCAAAAAAATGACAACCCACCAAGAGAAAAGAGTCAACTAGAAGGAAATATCAATTCTGCCAGCATCTATATACTATAGGAAAAGAAATGTAGCATCAGAAAGAACTTTCTATTTTTTTTCCCAGAAACAGTTCCTTCAGCCCATTTTTACAAGATTAACTTCCCGTAGAGCAACACTGCTGGAACCAGTAGAAAGGAGAACAATATTTTTAATATGTTGTTAAACAGTAAGTTGACCTTCATGAGTTTCAGCTGAGCCAGAAGCAAGGAAAAGAGCTGAGAGCCTTGTTTAGCAGACAAAGCAGACGAAATATCACTTTCCAAAAGCAACAATGTGAGCTTGGCGTCTTTAGGAATGCTTGTATGGAAGCTCACCAGAAACCAATGCAGGGTGTTTAGCTTGATACAAGCACAGATAATTTGAAAAGTAGAACGTTCAAAACAATGCTTTGGAGAGTAAACTGTAGAAAGTCGGAATATCTGCTCACGCTCACAATTTCAGTTGAGGAAGGGCTGTGTGGGCAGTAACCCAGTTTATGTTTAATTCCCTACATCTCTGAATAGGACTTAGAATGATTGTAATTGGAGACTTTGCAAAGACAATGTCAACAACTCTAAGCTGAGTGAACCAGTGAGCCACATTTGATCTCATTTGATCCTGCTATTTCTGCCTTATACTTGCTTCTTTTGTTCTGGAAATGTCAGCCTGCTGTAACAAGAGCCTCTCTTTCTTACACTTTTAAGGTAGCCTGAGGGCTTTTATAGACATTATGACAGGTTATATGGCAGAGACCAGGTGATCTATGATGAGGGAATTGGGGGAATTATAATTCAAAGACTAATATTTCCCTCCTCCAAATATACTACCCAGTTAATTGGGCTACATTGTGAATATTTGTGGTAAGGGTAATTATAATGTAGATTAAGAAACACTTAAAATTGAAAAGATGGATTTTCCCTTTGGCCCCATTTTTTCACATTTCCAGATACATTTTGATGGCACGTATGCAGTATATTCTGTAAACTTTAATATATTCTGTATTCTGTAAACTTTAATATATTGCATTCTTGTCAAAACTTTAATTATGTCATTTTAAAAACAATTTTCTACCTATCATGTTTACAATAAAATGGTTTGTTGTTGCTACAGCTGCTATTAAGTCTGCTCAAAACCAGAATTACTCAATGCTCAGATGGCATTACATGATATTGTTCCATTTCCAGAGCTAAGGCTCTAATGGAAAACATTTTTGCCACTAGAAATCCCGCCCCGCAAAGGTCAGGGGAAGAATTTTAATAAATAAACCAAAGTTGTATTTCATCTCCTCTTCTGGCTGCTTTGTTACTTTTGCTAGGCAGAAAATAAGGTCAAGCAAGATTGTGGAGTTCACCGTCTTCCAGACGTTGCTGAACTATAGGTCCCGGCATTTTGCACCGTTTTATACCATTGGCCGGCCTGGCTAAACCATTTAGAAATTGCAGATGTTCAACATCTAAAAGTCTGAGATGGTTACGTGTTGCTTGATAAAAACACAACTCAGGAATTGTAGGAAGAATTGAAAGTGAAACCATGAAGTGCATGTTGTCATGGAGAAACTGAAGGGCTGCAGGAAAAAGGATGGAATGCAGAGTGGGATATCAGATTAATTTGAGATCAGGCTCTTTGCCACATGCCACATTAGAGCACCCAGTTCAAAGACTTTTTCTGTCATTCTTTATTTGGTTAAAAAAAAAAGTAATGTGACAGCAATTACAATCCACTTCATCCAAAGCTTGCTATCAAAACAGCTTCTGTTCTTCTTACTCTAAAGGGTTCCCTTTCACCCATAGGCACCTATTAAGCTGAGCATGAAATTGCATTGCACCTTCATGGAGCAGCTTCTATCTGATGGGCTATTAGCCAATTCCAGAAATGTTCATTTCCTTCACACAATGAGGAGATAAATTAAACACTGAGGGCAGGGACTACTTATTTCATTCCAACCATATATTTCATTCCAACCATATATTTATTCTCATGACCAGAAGAGTATCAAAACACATTGTGATTTGTTACAAGGGCTTGGAAAGATTTCCCCCCAACTCCTTAAATTTTATTAAATGTTCTAACATTACATGGACTTAACCCTCAACCCTGCATCTCCCCCATGTATCCATATGTGCGTATTTATATTAAGATTTTTTGTTTCATCAGATATAATCCCATGGTCATATTTCATGTCAGACATATTTATGGAACCATAAGTGCAAAGTTCAATAGGGCAATAGGAAAATGAAATATTGGAATATATAGAGTAAATCACTTACCTCCCTTCTGTCTGATCCATTTTTGTGTAGCAAAGGAGAACATTGTTCTCCAGAGATTTAGATTTAAAAAATCAGTTGCCTGAGAATTCTAGAAGATTGATTTTTTCAAGCATTCTTGGTGCTCAATATGTGAATTCAAAAATATTTTATCAGTGTTTTTCATCCTTGGCAATCTTAGGATATGTGGACTTCAACTCCCAGAATTCCTAAGCCACCCATGTAATCCTGGGAATTGAAGTCCACATGCCAAAACTGAGAAACACTGCATTATATGATAGGAAAAAGATCCTGTTATCTGTTCCTTTTCCATCCATTTAATTGCAAACCATTTGATAACTAGAAGGTCTCTGCCACAAATAATAAGAAATACAATAAAGCACGGTCATATATTAGATACAAGAAGTTTTCTAGCATCTTTACTCATTTTTCTACCATCAATATAGATAATCTGATGGCAAAAAGCTAATCCAACAAATTACCCCTAAATTACTGTTTATTTAGTAATACTCTGTGGATATCATACAAAAATGAGATATTTCTTCTTTGCCAGCAATATACTTCAGGGAATCTGAGCTTTAAAAATATTTGCCATGGTCTTATTTCTTGGGAATGATGTCACTGTTATTTGCTCAGCATGGTTCCATCCAATTAATAAGCAATAAGTTGAAAGCATCTTTCATTCTTTAACCCAGATGCTTGCAAAGAATATAGCAGGCAATATAGCAGGGAGCTGCATGGCATGAAGTCTACCATAAATCTCAAAATTACATCCAAGCATAAAATTAAAGTGTACTTTACCTGTGTTACTTTGGATTCTTGATGTCTAGAAATAATTCAGATATGTGCTGCTGGGATTAAGTCACATCACCAAGCTCAGGAATTCTAATCAGTAGAGTAGCATGAATTCATTGGTTTTTAGAATGAGCTTTATCCAGGGGTGGGATTCTACCAGTTCGCACCTATTTGCTAGAACCGGTTGTTAACATTCTAAGCAGTTCGGAGAACTGGTTGTTAGAAGAAATTACTGGCCTAATCCTGTGAGGAAGGCAGGAAGGAAACATTCTGGTGTTGCTTACAGAAACCGCCTCTCCGTTAACCCTTATTACATTCTTAGCAGGACTAGACTTCCTATCTCAGGAACGTCTCTGGAGTTTTCTTTCCCCCTCCTTTGCTGGTACTTTGCTTGTGTGGAGTGACCATTCAAAGTTACAATGGCACTTTAAAAAAGTGACTTATGACCCTTTTTCACACTTATGACTGTTGCAGCATCCCCACAGTCATGAGAGGCCAGGCGAGGAGATGCATGCCTCGATGTGAGTGATACTGAGTTATTGGCCCAGCCAATAACATGACCATCAAGCCATGCCCACCACCTAAGCCATGCCCACAGAACCGGTTGTTTAAAAAATTGAATCCCACCCCTGGCTTTATCTGACATTTGAATAAATGTGTGGCTATGATTTTAGAATCAAAAATAAATCAAGCACTCTGCCAAATTTCATTGTGATTATACAGCTGTTGAAATGGTAGAGTTTTCAAATTAAATCAGCATTAGCTTAATTTCTTTTTTTCTTCCTATGGTCCCTTAAGATATGAACAGCCAAAGTGTGATAACAGTGCTAGAGCTCACCCAAGCAACACAAGAGACGTGTTCAAAGGGCGCCCATTGCAAGGTTAGTGTATAATAAATGGTGTTTTGGGAGAATGTTTATTCATTCAATTAACTTGAAGAGTGGTTTTATATCTGCAATAAAACTCTTGAGCAAAAATATTTGAAATATTGTTATGCTGCATTTAGTGTGAGTACCATTAGAACCGTATTCCAAACTGTGGTAAGTATAAAGGAAATTGTACTGCTGCATGGGTGGTTTATTCAACACAAATGAAAATCAAATGCACATTTGCCATCGAAAGCAATGAAACTGGATGCAAATCACAACTGTGACTTCATAATGGAGTCAGTCTCTCAAAAAGCCTAGCAAAAAAACCTGCTTGGTTATTATACGGTGGTTGTGGACCAGTTTATAAATAAATAAATAAATATACAGGATAATCTTCTTGCAGATTTTACATACCACTGGAGTGATCCTTGAGAAGGCCAAGAGGAAGGAGTATTATGTTTATTTGCCACATAAAATCAGGATAAAAAAGATTGAATAAATAAATAAAGAGGGACGTAAAGACTTTAATACAGGGGTCCTGAACCCCTGGGCCATAGCCCACTACTGGGCCGTGAGCCATTTGGAACCGGGCTGTGGAAGTGATGGGCGAGCGCATGCAAGAGTGTATTTGTGCAAGCAGCAGGCTAGCACATGTGCTCCATTTGCATGAATGGTGGGCATGTGTGCCAATGGATTCATGCCAATAGATTCAGGCACATGCTTGCTTGCTGCTTGCTCGCTCAGAGCCATCCCCTCTCCCCCTTCCTGCTGGTCCACGAAGCCAGAAATGTTGGGGAACTCTGCTCTAATAAGATCTCACCTATGCTGGGAAAGCAAATATAACACAAGGAACACAGTTGGAATCAAATTCCAATTGTGTGTAGGTATATAATATATATGTGTCTCTTCATTCTTAGAGATTGACTTAATACTAATTAAGAAACTGATATTGAGCTGATTATGAATAGCTCAGTAACAATTTCAACTACAACGCTATAATCATGCTTCTAATGTGCAACTCTTTTAAAAGAGTATATAATGTTTCATAATAAAGTAATAAGCACTTTTAGAACTTTTAATAGTGGGCTGGAAGAACTAATCAGCTTTCCATGGAGAATTTCCCTGGGATCGATTTTTAGCCTGCTGGCTAGAAATTCCACTTTTCTTCTTTAGATATTTAAAAATTAAACCCCAAATCTTGAATGTCAACAGCATAGTCTAAACAAGCGCAATTTTCTCCAGAATACCAGAAAATATTGCATATTGCAAAAATGTTGCAAATATTGCAAAATTTGAAGCCTTTTGCTGAGTCAACTTACACAAACCCATAAGGATTTGATTTTCTTTAGTATCATTCAAAATGGATGAGTACATAGAATTCCACTTATTTCCTATGAATTAATATTTGGGGTTTTAATGTAAATCAAAAATGGAAGACAAGTAGGCTATTCTACACCGGGAAAGCATCTTCTGTTCAGTTAGCAACTATTTTAAAACTTTATACAATACTCTGCCGTAAGACATTGTAATATTCATCCATTTGGACAATTGATTGTAACTGCTACAAAAACATATGCTGCAGTAAGTATACCTCCAGCTGCTGCTCATGTGCTTATAAGTATTGCATTTTTGCTCATGCTGTCTTCTTTCAACCATGAGCTTTCTCTTGTTTTTAAATGCCAAATCAGACTTAAATGGCTGTGACCTGGGATGGATGGAGGGATGGGTGGAGGGATAAGGAGTCAGGGGAAGAAACAAATTCAGCATCCTCTGCAGATTTTGAGCAATTTACAGGACTAATTATGGGTATCCCAAAGGTGCTTTCTTTGTTTTTCCTTGAAGATGTTTCTCTTTTCATCCAAGAAGCTTTTTCGGTTCTTCAACCATGACCTGGATATTTAAGAATCTTCATAGACTAAATATGGGAGTGTTCAATCTTTTTTTTTTTATTTACATGTTTACTTTTGAAATGTTGCATTTCAAAGAAAGAAGGTTGGGAAGCAAGAGGATACAAAAAGAAAAGACTGTGGCAAAGATGCCCAATCTTGTATTTTGGTCTAATGGAAATATATGCCTTTTTTAAAGAAGCATTCTCAGAATTGATCATCATTGTAGTTTTGTTTTATTTATTTTTTCTTTTCTGGAGCTGAGAGGAAGGGACTGTTCTCATCAGCTTATTCCTGATAAGGATTAGAAGCAGCAGGACCAAAAGGAACTTAACTTGCAAGCAGGTTACAGATTGAGTTCTTAAATGAGTGTTTTAACCCATGAAGTTAATCTCTTTCAAAATGAAGAATTCATGCTGTCTATCTGAAATACAGCTGTATACCTGTAAATCTTTAAAGGGACATTTTCTACACTAGAGTTAGGAGAGAGAACTATGAGTAATAGCCCAAGAGTACCATTTTAATATACTCAAGACTTGGATTTTACTCTCTTACTTGGCATAGTTTACTGTAAACAAGAAACAACAAAGCCTGCCAGAGATATTTTGACTGACATTATTCCATTTCCTGAAAGCCTCTTTTATTTTTCCTTCATTGTTGATGTTTATTGGGCAATTTCTTAGTACTGTATTTCTTAATAATTGCTTAAAATAATTTGCATAGGCTGGTTTGACATAAAATGCTGGGGTTCTCCCAAGGAGATTTGAATTGAAGCCCACATACATACACATACACACACACACACATACACACATACATACATACATATATATATATATTTTTTCTTAAGTTTTCGCGGGTACTTACATGTATGGCATTCAGCTTTGTTCGGGTATTTTCCCACGTCATTGTAGTTGTGCTTTTAAAGTTGTAGCGACGTTTCAGAAGCCTGATGATGGCAGATGAGATTCTGCTGA